TTCTTGGGGACAATTACTGTCAGGTTCCAAAATGTGTTCAATGAGCAGCGATTGGTGTTTATTCAGCTTTTAAAAGACCATGCAAGGGAACAGTAGGTTATATTGTCTGCCTGAAGAAACATTTCGCCATCCGGAAACATCTGCTTTCTATTTAAAGCTGCAGAGAAGGGAATGTGAGTGTATTTCAAACATACTCCCCGAGCACCGAACACCGAGGAGAGGCAGATGAAACTGGATCCGAAGGTGGTTTCTGGTCTCTGATCCACCTTCTTCGTTGGTCCCTGCTGGGAGGGGCCTGTGGCCTCCTGGGTGGGGAAGTCCTCATTCTGTAGACTCTTCTTATTGTGATTGGCACACATATACAGACCTGACAGTGTTGTCCTACTTACAATATGTTAACCTTCTCAGGTGAGACTAAATTAGCTCTCAAAGTTGGGGTCTGAATTTAAAGCACTCCGGCTGTGTTCTTCTTGCCGCCTGGCATTGTCCTGTGACCCTGAGCTCTGTGTGGAGAACAGTGTCCCGTCCCAGCTGTGAGGAGGATCTGATGAGGATATTGCCATCTGTGTGGCTCACTGTGGACGTCCTGTGAAGGACAGTGTATTAGTCATCTATCTCTCTGTAGTAAACTACGTTAGCTGCCCAAGCCCTATTTCTGTAAGGCCCGAGGCTGAATGCCCCTTAGCTGGATGCAGTCCCATGTCAGGTACTGTAATCAGGTAGGGGCTGCAGTCTCACAGCAAGGCTTGATTGCAGAAGGATCTGGTTTGGAATTCACATGGTTGTTGGCAGAATGCTGGCTCCTGGGGATATGAGAGTGCCTTATAACGTGGGACTCTTAATATTCCCGAAAGCTGGCAAGGGAGAGTCAGCTGAAAACAAGTCACGGTCATGTATAATCACACGTGTGACAGCCTGTGACCTTTGCTGTATTCTGTCGATAAGAGAGTCAGACTAAGTAGTGATAATCTCATGTAGGTGGCTGAAGTTGGAGAATCACAGATTGGGGTCCCTGGGGACTAACTGCCTAAAACAAAACAAAACAAAACAAAAACAAACAAACAAACAAAAAAACCCTAGACCCCTATCAATATCTATCATACGAACAAAGCCAGAGTAAGTCTCACCTTCAAGGGGAGGAGATTACATTGGGAGCCGCAGGAGAAGCTGTGTCCTGCCCACAGCTACTGTGTTAACTATCCTTTCGGGGCATGGTTAACAGGGAGTTAAAGCTTGCAGATATGCCACTTACTGTGTGACCCAGGCAGGCCTCCTGGACATCCTGAGCCTCTCTCTCCCACCTGTACAGCACTTTCTCTACAGGATTATTGTGATCTTAAATGAGAAATCCCATATGCAGAATTTCTAAGCAGTTGGTAAATGTCAGCGCCTGGCTGTTCTTTTCATCCTGGTCTTTTTTTTTTTTTCCTCCTTCTTCTTGAAATAACATTAGACTTTCTGAATATCAGAAGAATAGCTTGAAACTCCCCAGTCCTCTCAGATTGGGCTATTCATGTGGAAATCCCAGTCCTGTGGGTAGCTTGCTGGGCACAGATCTGCTATCAGAACTGCTGTACAGGTCCTGGTTCTGTCCAGTCCCGTCTCCATCCCCACCCCCACCCCCCATCCTCATCACCACCTTTGTTTGCTGGGATCTCAGGACCAAGGAAGGTAGCTCTGTGGTCTCAGTAGGGCCATAGCTTCTTGGTATAGTGATCACTTTCAGGATGGGTGTGGTGGGAAGTCCCAACAGCACCCCTCCTAGGTCTCTCTCTGTAGAAAGCCCAGCTCTGGTGACCAGGCTATGCCCAGGTGAACCCGCTGTACCTCCCCACCTCTAGGTTGAAGTCCTGGAGGCAACTCAAGGTTTCCAGATTCCAGAGCTGAGAAGGCAAATTTAGAGATGGAGGCCTTTCGCCTGAGTGCTCACCTGACCCAAGTTATGCTAAGCAGACAGCAGGCTGCTTTGGCTATTATCCTAAGTCACAAAGCTCTGCCATCTTGCTTTGCCTTCCAGTCTCTCTCCCAGCATCTCTCTCCACTTTGACTGATTGCCTCCAGTCCTCATTCCTGCAGGCTTTAAGGACAGTCCATACAGAAAGTCATTGCTGGAACACAGCAGGCTCATTACTTCTCTCCCTCCTCCCCGATAAGAACACTGCCTCTGCTCTCTGTCCAGAGAACCTCTGCCTCCCCTCAGGCCCCTCTCCTCACCCTTTGCATCCACGGAGCCAATCCTTGCTCCCACTGTTGACCCCCAGAGCTGTAGGAGACCTCTCAGAAGTAGATTGAGTCACTGTCAACTATGTCATTGTAAATGAGGAGACACTAGCTGTGGGGACCATGTTGTTTTCTGAATCCTTGGGTACTATCTAAGGACAGGGCTTCCCCAGGCATTTAGAACTCTTGTTATCCGAGAGGCCCCAGGCCCTTTCACTAGAGAGTCAGGTGTCAGGTGGACAGGCTTGGGAGCTAGTAATTTTAGTAATCATGACAAATCGCTATCATGAAGGTTTAGCAAACCTGTGTCCACACCCTGCATTTGTATACTCAGTCCCAGATCCCCCTCCTCACCTAGGGAGCAGGAGGGGAGGTCCAAAAGCTGGGGCTCCATCCCTGAAAGGTTCTCCTCTCTAACCCACGGGCTACCAGCTAACACTGGGAGAGTGCAGCAGAGATTCAGTATAACTTAGTCACCCAAATTCTCCGTGGCGCCAGCTGCCCACCTGCTTCCTCTCTCACACGTGCAGGCTGTCGCATGAGAACGTTTTTTCTTTACAGTGTTGTATTTAGAGGGTTAGAAAGCTACAGTGCTGGCTGGTGAGTGGCACAGCTGGGCCATCCAGACGTCAGACTTCCCCACATCATATTCATGGATATGCGCTCTGCACACCTTGGCCTCGACAACAGATGTGAAGCATTATGGCAAGAATCTCCCTTTTCTTTCTATAGCTGTCACATAGCCATGGAAGGGTGTGGGTTTGGGGTGAAACCAGTGAGTGAACTTGAGACTTGTTGGAAACGCCTGAGTGACCCACGCTCCTGCTGGTACCTTGCCTGCTCCCTGGGCTGAGAGGGGAGCAGGAATGCCAGCCTTCCGCTGGAATACCAGCTCAAGGAGCAGCTATTATGGGCATCACGCTCTTTGAATACTCTTCCAGATGTTGCTGAGTTCCTCTAACACCGTGCCAATCAATATCCATGATATTATCTGACATGATATATCCCTTGTATGAGACTCGAAGAGTAAATTGCTTTCCCAGAATAAAGTTTCCCCCTGAGAGCTGTGTTTCCAGTAATGAGTCTTCTGCAGGCGCTGGGGGGAGGGTGTGTGTGGGGGGAGATGGGGAGGGGGATGGGCAAGAGCTCAGAGACTCCTGCCCAACCCCTCCCCACTGACAGCATAGCCACTTGAGACTTCCCTGCCCTTTGAACTTGTGTCCACTCAGTGTCCTGTTCTTTATCATCTCTTTTGACATCGCCAGGACTTTGAAGGTTAATTTTACTAATTAATCATACCCCCAGGTTTAATTTTGCATCTTTTATCAATGCTTACTAATCTATAGTGTTTTTGTGGCTTGATTTTTGCATGTCGATGCCCCCCCTCCAATTTGTGTCTTATTTTAAACTTAGAAGACATTTTGAGAATTTGTCTACAAAGCCTTTTTTAAAAAGCAGACTTCCTGATGAGTCTGTTTTCATTTTTTTTGTTACTTTGTTAAGCAGATATCTCAAAGAATGACTGTGCACTGGATTCTATTATAGTTTTAAAATCTGTCTTAGTTATTAACCCCTATTGTCAGGATCTAATTAATTCTCTACTAAACAGAAAGAAACTTAGATAATGTGTTAATTTGGTTAAGTGTTCGTGGGCAGGTGGGATGAAAGAGACATTTAAGTCACAGGAAAGAGACTCAGAAAAGATTAGAGTAGAAGGAGAGTCTGTACAAAACCTGACAGCCTCTCTAAACTGTAGAGTCCTTACAGGTTTCGAAAGCAAATTGGTGATGCTTCCAAGGCTATAAAATAATTCTGTCATTCAAAACAGTTCCTCAAATCTGAGAAATACTTAAATATTAAGCTTTGAATGGGTTACAGAATCCTAAAATTGATACAAATTCTCCCAAAATAAAAGTTTTTAATTTCCTAAAATGAATTAGTTCCAAAGGGTCCATCACCCCCACAAATGCCAACAGGGTGTCAGGAAATAAAAAATAGAACTCTTGACAGCAATGTAAAAACTCTCAGCGAAGAATTTCATTTTAAGCAAATTACTCATTAGGCCAGTTGCCCAGCAGCCTCCAGGTAGTTGCAGCTAAATGGAGTGTAGGCTGCCCACTCTACTCACCTCCTCCCCCTCCTCCTCCTCCTCCTCCTCCTCCTCCTCCTCCTCCTCCTCCTCCTCCTCCTCCCATCCTCTCCATCCTCCCCCTCCTCCTCCTTCCCCTCCTCTTCCTCCTCTCCCTCTTCCCCCTCCTCCTCCTCTCCCTCTTCCCCCTCCTCCTCTCCCTCTTCCCCCTCCTCCTCTCCCTCCCCCTCTCCCTCTCTTCCTCCTCTCCCTCCTCCTCCTCTCCCTCCTCCCCTCCTCCTCTTCTCCCTCTTCCCCCTCCTCCTTCTCCTCTCCCTCTTCCCCCTCCTCCTTCTCCTCTCCCTCTTCCCCCTCCTCCTCCTCTCCCTCTTCCCCCCTCCTCCTCTCCCTCCCCCTCCCCCTCCTCCCTCCCCTCCCTCTCCTCCTCCTCTCCCTCCCCCTCCTCCCCCTCCTCTTCTTCCTCTCCCTTACCTCCTCTTCCTCCTCCTCTCCCTCCCCCTCCTCTTCCTCGTCCTTCTCCTCCTCCTCTTTCCCCTCCTCACCCTCCTCCACCTCCTCAATTGTTCCCATGCATATGTATCTTTGCCAATAAGCTACTTGAAATCTCATGAGATGGTGGGTGGCCTAGACATCATAAATTATACATTAGGTCAGGTTCCATCGATTCACACACACATCTGTCCTGTTGCAGAGAACAGCCCATCTTCACCACGCGAGCGCACGTCTTCCAGATTGACCCCAGCACCAAGAAGAACTGGGTGCCTGCAAGCAAGCAGGCCGTCACCGTGTCTTACTTCTATGATGTCACCAGGAACAGCTACCGGATCATCAGTGTGGATGGAGCGAAGGTACTGGCCTGCCGGACGGACGGTTTGACGTCCTCACTTATTTCATTCCAGAGCAGTTCGGTGCACTTGAAAGATGAAGGGTTCCTGAAGCTGTATCCCCAACCCTGCTGTCTCAACGCAGACCTGCATAACAAACAGAGCGTGGGTTGCAGAACCGTCTGCATAATCACATATCTTGCTCTTTCTTTTCCACCTAAAATCATGGCAAATGAGTAAAAAAAACAGATCTCCCTGTTACCTCACTGTCTCCATAATTAACGTTTTAATGCCCATGCAGAGGTTACTGTGAGAGTCCACGATGATCTTAATTTGTTATGATGGCTTCAGTTTCTTGCTGTTATAGATACTAAGCATTCCCCATGTAGCGAGCTTCCCCAGTCACTCATTTTATACTCATTTTGAATGTTTCCTCGGGGCAGATTCCTACAGGTAATATTATAGGTCACGCTATTAACACTTCACAGCCTCTATGAGGATGCTAGACTATTGCCCCCTGTAATCAATGGGTATTACCTCTAATACGGTTCTGGTATTATTAGACATGGGAATTAATTTTTATTAAATAAGTTAGGAGTATTTCTTCTCTTTCCTTTTTGTGGAGCAGGAGGTTGTGATGTAGCCCAGGCTATATGGGAACTGGAGGCAATCCTCCTGCCTCAGTCTCCTGAGTACCAGAATTACAGGCATGGCCTATCAAATTTGATTTAGTATTTCTTACAATATTGTCTATTCCTGATATTTCATCCCTCTCTGTATTTTGGCCACACTATTTGTGGGATGAAAATAAAGGGATGCCAGCCAAAGTACTATCATGTCCTTAAAAATAAATAAGCCTTCCGCATCAGAGTCCTTCTGCCTTTAGTCTGTGTCCACTGGATATCCACTGGATATTTTCCTGTGCTGACATGTCACCTGATATTCAGTGTTTGAAGGTAAAACCCCCTGATCACCATCTAAACCACAATTCTATTTCTACCTCCTAGTATTTGGCATAAAACCCCCAAACCAGCGTGTCCTCTGGTTTGCTTTTAAACTGCGGCTCTTGTAGCACCAGACATGCTCGGGCCCTGGCAGCATCCCTTTGCTGGTGGCTCCTCATTTACTAACTGGTCCCTCGTGGATTCCTAGTCAGGGCAAGCTTTCCTCGATAGTAGAAAGCAAAAGAGCTGGGAGCTGAGCAGTAGAATGGAGCCTGTCCACTGCATCTCCTCTTAACTAGTAGAGAAAGAATGAGGAAGTCTCCATTAGAGCATCCACTGGTAAGGCAGGAGACCCTGCCAACGCCTCCTCGTCTGCTGCAGCATCCTGGCTCTCCTCCAAGGGTCTCCTTCTGGCTTTCAGCAGCGTGACATCTAGAGATGAAAGTGATTGGTCTCATGGTCCTCTCTTTCTCTTTCGACTTCCACATCTAGGCACAGGTAGTGGGTCTTTATGCTCTTGAGGAGACATGGCAAGCTGCTGCTGGCGCCCAGTTCCTAGGATGCCAGTCCTGACTCGTTGGGTTGGCACAAGGTTCACTCTAGCAACTAAAGCAGCCTTCCCTGACATTTTCCACCCAGGGTGTGTGTGTGTCCCCTCTCATTTCAGAGGACAACAGTTGTTCTGATGAACATCTTAAGAGGCTAAAGAATTAGTTCTCCCATCCACACAGCTAAGATAGAGCATAGGGGATGTGGTATGGGGTGGCCTGTAGCAAGGACATGTGACAGTGCCTGACATGTAATAGGTGTCTCATTTGTAATGAAGGACCACCTGAAGGGTGCCTTGATTTTAAAGTTTTATTTTATCTTATTTTTACTTCTGGGAGGCTCAGTGGGACTGCAGTTGTAATTACCACGGCTCTGTGCTTCTAGCTGCAATTGCTGGGCTCTCTCCAGGACGTTCTGACAGGGATGGAGAATTGAGCACACCTGCTTTCTTTCATCTATAGATTCCGGCAGTACGTCTACGATCCTTAGATGGGTTTGCGCTTCTGTCAGTTCAGTTTTCCACGGATTTATTGGGCTTAACTATAGCTAAAACAGTGTCCTTATAGCAAGTGTGTTGGTTATTAGCTGGGCTTTTAGTAATTTGTCAAACTGTCAGCCGGTGTATCGGTATGCCTCTGCTGTTCTTGGCAGTGTGGTGGAAGGCAGCTGAAATGGCTCTGAGGAGTCAGTCAGATGCAGGAAGGTGAGTTACGTGATAATTATGTAGTAAGGGTAACTCCAGCCTAGTGTGGGGTCGTCACTGAATTAGAGAGCACTTAAGAAGTAGGAATTGGAAACATAGACTGTGAAGCACCGCTGGAATTCAGAGACTAAGCCAGAGCTTCTCAGCTGCCTCCCGCCGTGTCCCTGGTCACCTTATGTTCTTGAAGTCCGCCTAGAGTTCCAGCTTCACCACTGCAGCATGGAGAACTGCGGCAGAGCCTTGTTTGGCAAAGGAAGCAAAAGGCTAAGGAATGTGGGTTACACTTAGTCATTGAATTACTATCCCTGTCGCCAGGAGCTGGGGACAGGGCAGGTCTCTTGTCACAATAGTACTAGATATTTCCAGAACCACCACAGTCCTGCTGGACTCTCCCTTGACAGCATCAAGTAAGATGGACAGAAAACATCAAGAGAGAACCTTGTGCTTCCAGCTTCCATAGTTAGGTGGGGCATGGAGACAGGACCTCAGACCATACCAAGTACTACCACCCAGCTCACCCTTCTTTGCCTCAAACCCCAGCTCCTGTCCTGTCTGAATACTCTAGATTTCTTGCTAGACAACTGTGCTGACAGGAGGCCTGCACTTCTGGGCTCTGGTCTGTCGTCTCCCCTTCTCCATGCAATCAACATGGCTCATTTCTCCTTGTTTCTGAATAGCTGCCGTGGGTCAAGTTCACTTAGGCCTTACCTCCTTCAAGCCGTACATCCAGGCTCCAGATACCTTCGAGCATGGATGCGCCCATGCACTGGGGAAGTATAGCCACCTTGTCTCTCCTCCATCGTTGTATTCTCCACCACACAAGAAGGACTCTTTTTTGTTTAAGGCCTTTGATTGTAGATTTTGATCTGAACTGGGAATGCTAGCTCAGCTCATAGCATAGCTCAATTACCCGAGGCAGGCCTTGGTCCCGCTTCTCTTTGTTAACCTGGTCACATCAAATCCATGGCCTTAAGCTTCTGCTTGGCACACGTAGGCCAAGTGTGCTTCCCAAAGCCCAGGGTATCGATTGCTGGAAAAGCGAACGTGTCCCTCTTGGATGGAGTAGATGGACTTTAGACACAAGTTGCTGGGATGGAAAAGATTCAAAGGTCCTTTTGAGCTAAGGCCACACCAGACACAGTAGCTATTAAACTCAGCTGCTGGAAGAGCACAGGCTCTGCTGAAGTGGCAATGCTGGTGCCAGCACTCAACTGCTGCCATCCCAACCCAAGCATTGCAAGAAATGCCTCTTTCCTGTCATCTCCTGGAGGAAAAAGGCTCAGAGGGCTTCACCGACCTGAGCGAAAACAGGTTGCTTAGGAAGACCTAATTCACACTGTTCTTTCTTTTCTTGAAACACAAACACATTCCCTTTGTTCAGTGACAGTATGGCACATGTCCCTTCCAGTTGTGCCCTAAAGACATGACCTTGTGAAGACCCTGCTATGTGGTACCTCAGTGTTATTCAAGCCCTAGGAGGTGATGTGGATTCCATGTTTGTATATGGACTGCCCAGATACTGGGTTCTTTGCATATGGAGGTAGGAAGAGGTATGCCTGGCTTGCTTGCTTGTCTCAGAGCCCAGGCAGAGTAGGTAGCACCATAGACGTGTCAGAGAGTAAGTCATGATGAGGGAGTAAGCTGTGATGAGGTCAGGCCTGACTGTCCCCTCTCCAGGCCTGCATCAGGTCAATCATGTGCACAGAAGGGCCATTGCCAAGGGCAAGCCAGGTTCACAGATGATGGACAGATGGGGACCACAGAAATACAGCGCCTAACTCCTAGCTTCTTAGAGCCCTGCCATGGCTGTTACAGCTGCATGATTTGTGGTGAGCTTTGCACAGAGCGGCCAGCTCCATTATAAAGAAGCTTGTATTCCAGAGCATTTGTTAATTGAGCCATTGCAGCCTTGATTTCACTGTGCTTTTGGCACTCTTTGTGGACCAAGTTAATCACTGTCATCCATATGAAAAGCTGCCTGTGCCTATGGGCAGGGCCGGCCTGAAGCAGGTGCTCCTCTCAGCTGCACTGGTGACTCTCCTGCCCTTGCCTCTTGGTTATTTATAGGATCACAGAGAACCTACATTAGCAGAGACCTGAGGGGTCGTCCATTCTACAAATATTTAGCAGTGCTCACTGTGCTGAAAGTTCTGCCTGTTCGTGGGGCTTCAAAGGATGGAAGCAGCTGAAACCTTGGAATACTTCGGGTATTCTAAGAATGTGAAGTTGCTTTCAGAAAACACAAGCGGAAGCGGTAAGATGGCTCAGTGGGTGAAGGTGCTTGCTGCCAAGCTTCAAAGGCTGGGTTTGCTTCTCTGGACCAACATGATGGAAGGCAAGAACCAACACACGAAAGTTGGCCTCCATCAATGCACAGTTGCATACATTCTCTCTCTCTCTCTCTCTCTCTCTCTCTCTCTCTCTCTCTCTCTCTCTCAGGTTCCCATCTTCCGCCCACCATTGTTGTTTCCTCTTTTGAAAAAAAAATGTAGAGCCCCTCTGTTAAGAGATTGAGTTTCTAGAATGTTCCTATCACCCAGTAGGTTTTTAATGGATGTCATATTCTTTTCTTCCATTTCTGAGGCACAAAGAGAACACAGGATGGGGAAGGGGCCATCTTGCTAATCCACCTTGGGAATAGGCAGCCCATCTTTTGGTTGCTGTACCTCAAAGTTTCTCATGGGAAACCGCTAACTCCTTCCAGCCTCCAGCTTCCTGGGCTTGGTAATGTTCTCTTCCTACCTGGCCTTCTTCCAAGGCAAGGTCACTGTGTTTGGGGTATCCTAAGAAAACATGGTTCCAGTGACCTGCAGGGACTAGATCTTTTA